TAAGATAGCACTTGAAATGAATGAGGATCATGAACCCACGTCTATATTAGAGTGCACTCAAAGATCAGATTGGCTAAAATAGAAAGAAGCCATAAACGTGGAGTTAAGTTCAGGGATAAAACCAGTAGGACACAAGTGGGTCTTTGTGAGAAAGAGAAATGAGAATAATAAAGCGTGAGATATCAGGCACGGCTTATAGCACAAGGATTCTCACAAAGACCGGGGATAGATTATGAAGAAACATACTCCCCTGTGGTGGATGCTAAGACATTTAAATTTTGCTAAGTCTGGCTATATAAAGAAAAAGACTTGATTTGCGGCTAATGGATGTAATGCCTGCATATTTATATAAGTCCACTGGATAATATATACACTACAAAAAAAGTGTGCATTGATAGCATATTCGGATAGCACGGATTTTGCAAATGCTATTAAAGATGATATCGAGGGATTTGTAACTATATCGTAGCATTTGAAAAATGCTAAGCCCTATAATAGCAAAGAAGAGACGTAGAATCACTTATGACCGCCAAAACTTTGCAAATATTTCACAAAAACCGCTTAACACTTTAGCAAAAAATTTTTTTTTTTTAAATTATTAAGAGACAACCCTAATTTCTATCTTCTTCTCCTTCATCGTTCTCTCCTCCTATACCTCTCTATTCTTCTTTTCTCCTCTCTCGCTTACTCTCTTCCTCTGATTATGCAACCCTAGATCTATTAGATTTTATCAGTTTCGCTTCAGATTTCAGATCCATTATCTCTTTGTCACCCTCGCTTTCATCCCCAAATTTATCTTATTCTTCTTCAATTTGATGAAATCTTCAGTCTCCATCTTCGTCGGTGGTCTGAGATAGCCTTAAACCATAAATTTAATTTCGGTGGCTGAAACGTAGGTGAAACCCAAACCATCTTCGTCGCTTGGTTCTTCGTAGCTGAAAGGTTTCTCGATCAATTGCTTAATCCTTCTCCCTCCGACTCCCGTCTTTCTCTTTCTCTCGGCTCCATATGTACGATTTTGTTAGGATTCACTAGATTTATTAGCAATTGTAGATGAATTTGGGTTAGATTGATTTAGCAGTGAGATAATGATTTCGATTTAGAAAGCAAAAAGTCTCCATCGAGTTCTTCTAGTGAGTTTTTACATATCTATTTTCATACATCATAGAACTCTCCCTTTTTCTACTCTAATATCTTACTTGTTTCCCAGATACAATGAATCCTCAAATACTTCCAGAGCTCTTTTCCATTTAGTGAGAGTGGCAAGAGAGCAAAGCTCAAGAAATAACCAAGAGAGGTCTGTCTTTCCGCTTTTTCTTTGTTTTTTTTTCAATGAACATGATGGAGTCTTTACTCACGTAGTTCTTAGGATTCAAGCAAACCATGCCTTATTTATGGACTGTCGCAATGTCTCCTCTTTGGTATATATGTGCAGTCTTTGAAAAATGTTTGCAATTGTTCATGTTTACTCTATTAAGATGTCGTTACTTTTCTCGTTTTCTCATTGCTGCTTCAAATGGTTCATGTGTACTCTATTAAGATTTGTTAGGATGTGATCTTTAAGAATTTAATTTGGTTACTTTAGTCTAGGTTGTTGCGACTTAGATAACGATTACTCTACAGATTTGTAATGTTAATGGTAATGTTTCATACTTGATCCTTTATTGGAGTCTGTTTTTTATGGCTTCTGATGATTGTGGAAGTGGAAATAGCTTTCCAGATTGATGGCTGCAGGTTTTGATTTTCTGTTACAGGTTTTAGTTTATGAATTTTCAGGTTTTGGTTTCTAAATTTGCAAGTTTTGGTTGTCTAAGTCACAAGTTTTGGGTTTCTCTGGTTAGCTACTACATTTTTATTTCATACACACGTTATTTTTTTTTAACTTACATGGGTTCTGTTTTTGACAGTGAAGGGACAAAAGGTTAATACTAGTCCTAGCTAGTAATTGTACTCTCATGTGCTTGGATTCATTGAGAAAGCAGGAGATAAAGAAAGGCTTTTGAAGTGGAGTTTGAGTGATACCTGGAATGGGTATAGATTCTTACTATCACTTAATCTTGTTTAGATCTGTTTCTCGTCTTGTGTGTTATATACGTATAATCTAATCTTTTGTGTATTTAGCAATCACAAATGTGGTAACAATCTCTACGATCCTGAAGCACAATGGACTAGCAACATAGAAGAGTAAGTAAAATTTCCTTTCTTATCATCAACGTTTATTTTTTGTAAATCATAATTCAGTAATCTGTTTTCCCTTTGTTCCATGTTTGCCAACAGAGGTGTTAACGTTGTTGACTGTGGGAATGAAAGACAAGAACAAAGGAAGCATGGTCCAGAAGGCTAAGGCAAGTTTCTTTTAATATTTTTTTTAAGGCTGGTGAATAAGCTACAACAGAAGCTGTTTAGGTCATTGGATTGTCTTTGAAGTCTGATGCTAAAAAGACCATCATGAATCTCAGGTTCCCTCTTTTTCTCACGGTTTTCTAGCCATTATCTTGTAGAAGTAATTGAGAAAGTCACTTGCTTTTACTCATACAAAGACATCCAACTTCAAAAAGAGAACTGAACTGCAGAGGATATAGAGAAGGCAGTGAAATGAGAATTGCTTGGAATGAGACATCATCCTAAGTCCTTGGAGGGAGGGAAAGAGCAAACCAATGGAGTTCTTTGTTTAGTCCATCTGAATTGCAGTACTTATGACGTTGTTTATGACCTTTGTTTTTATAACAAATGGTGTTAAATGCTGAACTATTTTGTAAAATTACAATTATGTATTTTTTGATGATCTATGAAAAGAAATGTGCTTTCAACAAATTGGTTTTGTAGCATATAATTATTTGGATTTTAAATTTATAGATTTAAAATAATTTTGCAATTCATCATTTTATAATGTAGCACATAAAATTTGCTACACAAAAATATAATATAGCAAAAATTATGAGTTATAAAAAATTATATTAAAGCATTCGATTAGTGCTATACTAGAAGGACTTATAATAGCACGACAAAAAATGCTTTTGTATGGGTGATACCTACTATAGCTGCCGAGAACATAGCGTTTGTGAATTCGCTATCTATAACGTAAGATAGCATATTTTTAGCGCTATCAATGAACAAATTTCTTGTAGTGATATGAGATTACCAGAGGGTATTGAGCTCAAAGATAAAGATAAGAAAGGGTCTCGAGACCAATACTGCATAAGGCTGAACAAATCGCTTTATGGACTGAAACAAAGTGGACGCATGTGGTACAATAGATTAAGCGAGTACCTAGTCAGAGAAGGTTATAAGAATGATCCCACCAGTCCATGTATCTTCATAAAGAAATTTGCAAACAAAGAGTTTGTGATAATAGCAGTATATGTGGATGATTTAAACATCCTTGGAACCTCTGGGAAATCGCCCAAACAGTCGAATATCTAAAGAAAGAATTCGAGATGAAAGACCTAGGCAAGACAAAATTCTGTTTGGGATTGCAATTTGAGTACGTGAATAATGGAATCCTTGTGCATAAAAAGGCATATACTGAAAAAGTACTCAAGAAATTCAATATGGACCAGGCCCACCCATTGAGCAGCCCAATGGTGGTGGGAAGCCTCGGATTGGATAGTGATCCATTCGGTCCAAAGAAGGATCAGGAAGAAGTTCTCGATCCTGAAGTGCCATACCTTAGTGCCATAGGAGCGTTAATGTACTTGGCTAGCCACACTAGACCAGACATATGTTTTGCCGTGAACCTCCTTTGTCTAAATTTAGTTCATGATCAACCCAAAGGCACTAGAAAGGTTTGAAGGAAGGTTTGGTTAAATTTTAAATTCTATTCTTCCTATGTTTGTTTATTTGGGTTTTATTCTATATTGATCTAACCAAAGAAGGTCTAGTTTGCTTTGGTTTAGTTTGTTTTGCTGATGCAGGTAAAATCAGATTATGGCATGGTCAATAAATAGGAACTACGTGTGGCTTGATCCCTTCCAAGGGTACGTAGGCAGCCTTCTTCAAGGCGCAGCTACTACAACATCAACGACCATCATATGAGGAGACAACACAGCCTGTATCGCTCAGCTCAAGGACGGCTACATCAAGGGAGATCGGACGAAGCACATTCTAACAAAGTTCTTCTTCACGCATGACTTGCAAAGGGATGGAGAAGTTCGAGTGGTACAAGTTCGATCCAGCGACAACTCAGCTGATCTCTTCACCAAGGCGTTACCAATATCGACATTGAGGAAGCTCACGCATCAAATTGGAATGCGGAGACTTAAGGACTTACAGGGATGACCAAATCAGGGGGAGTAATACGTGCTGTACTCTTTTTCCTTAACCATGGTTTTGTCCCAATGGGTTTTCCTGGTAAGGTTTTAATGAGGCAGCATCCCCGAGCGTATTACTGAGATCCTTTGGCATCTACACGGTTATGTCATCCAAGGGGGAGTGTTGTAGACCGCATGGTCGGATGGACTCCATAACCGTTGGGCCTAATACATATTCTAGAAGGCCCATGTCCATGTTCTAGAAGATTCTCCTTATGACGGTCTATCTTATCTTAGTGGGCTTTTGGGCTTTAGGGTTTACTAGCCCAATGAGAATTTGTCTCCCCTTGTCGTGTATAAATATGTATTGAAACCTCATTCATTAATCAATAAGAACAACAAGTTTTACAACACTGACAAAAAAAAAAATTTGAAATCTAGCCTTACGTACACAAAACTTTTTTTTTTTTTTGGTATCAACGTACACAATACTGGGATTAAAGGAAAAATGCACCAAAACATTTTCTTTTCGCAAAAGTAAGGTAATTTAATTAAAAGTAAGCATTAATTCCGAAACAGGTACTTTAATAAAAAAAGTTGATTGAATTGGTAAAAACAATATCAACAACCTAAAAACCAGAAACATAAGTTAATTAAAGTAATTAACTAGAGAATTAAATAACGCAATTAACTACTAATAAATGATGAAAAAAAAAATGAAAAAAAAAAAATGATAAAAAGGGAGAACAAATCGATCGCAGCGAGCGTCGTCCCTATATCTCTCTCTCCCTTTGAATTTTCCCTTGTATTTTGGATCTTTCTTACTTCCGTACACCCAAAGCCAAACAAACAAACAACAAAAAAAAACAAACTCTTCTCTTTCATCGAAATTCAAAAATCGAATTTGTTAGGGCTTTCTTCTTCTTCGGGTCACATCAGAAACAATGGGACAGCAAAATTTGATCTACAGCTTCGTCGCTCGTGGTACGGTGATTCTCGCCGAGTATACAGAATTCAAAGGGAATTTCACTTCTGTCGCTGCTCAGTGTCTCCAGAAACTTCCTTCTTCGAATAACAAGTTTACATACAACTGCGATGGTCATACGTTTAATTACCTCGTCGAAAATGGCTTTAGTGAGTCTCTTCTTCTCGATCTGTATATATGAATTCTCTCTGTTGATCTATTCTCTGTTTTTGGGTTATGGCTTCTTTATGAGAAGGCCTTGTTGTTGTTTGATTCAACATTTGATTACATTAGAGCCTTTTGCTTACGTGGAGTTCACAAGTTCCGTTGCTATATCTACTTTTGGCATGAAGTAGTAATGTTTGTGTTGTTGTGCAGCTTATTGTGTTGTTGCTGTTGAATCTGTTGGGAGGCAGATTCCAATGGCTTTCTTGGAGCGAGTTAAGGAGGATTTCAACAAGAGATATGGTGGTGGAAAGGCTACCACTGCTCAAGCCAACAGCTTGAACAGAGAGTTTGGGTACTATAAGCTCTACCATCAGAATGAAAACTTAAAACTTCTACGTTTAGTCTCTATGGATACAATTAACTAGTCGGGTTGTACCGTAGGTCTAAATTGAAGGAGCACATGCAGTACTGTGTGGATCATCCTGATGAGATTAGCAAACTTGCCAAAGTTAAGGCTCAGGTGACTGAGGTGAAGGGTGTTATGATGGAGAACATTGAGAAGGTCCGAATCGTTTATACATGTCAATCTCACATTTCTGTATCATTAAGTTTAAGTATATTTGTCATATCTGCCCTGAGGTAAAAGTGGCACGCTTTTGCAAATCTGACTGAGCTTCATGTAATTCATTCATTTGCAGGTCCTTGACCGTGGTGAGAAAATTGAGCTTCTAGTTGATAAAACTGAGAACCTTCGTTCACAGGTCATTACTTACCATTCACTCAAATGTTTCTGATTCTTGCTTTTTTTGATGAACTTTTTTTTCAGTAATATTAATTCATGCCCAAATGAATCAAGGCAAAACTTATGTGTATACATATGAACACATAAGCATGAAATGGCTTTCAAGTCCTAACGCTCTTATATTTCCGATTCAAATATCTACAGGCACAAGATTTCAGAGCGCAAGGAACGAAAATGAGAAGAAAGATGTGGTTTGACAACATGAAGATTAAACTCATAGTCCTCGGGATCATCATTACCTTGATTCTCATCATCATCCTCTCGGTTTGCGGGGGATACAAGTGTACCTAAAACTTGAAAGTATAAGAAGAATACGTTGCGAGATTACCAGCCCCATATTGCTCTACTAAGCTGATTGGAACTTTGCCCGGTATATGCCATTCTTTTTCTTTCTGTTTCGCGGTCTCTCTTTTTATGTTTTCTTCATTCAATTTTGTTAGGGTAAAGAAATATGATGACTCAGACTCAATTCTGAAAAATGATCCTTTAGGGTACGTATGTTTGGAAATAGATATAAGCCCTTGGGGTTTGCTTATATATAGATTAGGTCTTTGTGCTCATGGTGATGATATGAGTTTTTTTTTGTAATCTAAAATCTAATGTTGAGTTTTTGCTGTTTCCTTCAGTCGCCTTATTTATTATCTATTGTGTTAAAAAACCAACACGGCGTATAGAAAAAACAGAGATGTATGTGAATATGACTACTGAGAAAAAATAAACAAAACAAAGCATTAGATAAAGACTACATAACCAACACGGAAATGCTTCAATACAAGAACAACAACTACTTGACAGCCATTGAAGAATCACATTCGAAACCGAAACATTCTTAACGGCTTCTGTGCTTATTCGGACCAGTTATCTTGGCGAGCCACTCCGGCTTGTATGAAGCAATGACTTGTGCCATCACCAATCCAAACAACACTCCAGGTACATATCCTATTGCCACTGCTTTCCAGCTTAACACTTGTTCCTCTTCTTCTTCATCTTCATCCTTATGGTGCTGCATTGGAGGTCCCCTAGTGCCAAAGCAACTTTCCTCGAGAGGAAGACCACAAAGCCTTGCATTTCCTTCAAAGGAGGATTTAGGTTGCCCAATGATTTGTGTTCCTTGTGGTATTTCACCCTTGAGTTGGTTATGAGACACATTTATGTACGCCAAAAACGAGAGGGTCTTGATTCCGTTCGGAATAGTGCCAGAGAGTTGGTTTCTTGACAAGTCTAGAGACTCGAGATTCATAAGATTGGCGAAAGACAGAGGAATATGGCCTGTGAATGCGTTGTTCGATAAGTTGAGCGCAATCAATGCCTTCAAGAGACCAATAGATTCAGGAATCTGTCCTTCTAGTCTGTTTCCAGAAAAATCAATGGCGGCATAAGAAGTAAGGACCCAATTTCGCTCCATAGATAAACCTTTGTATTTCAAATCAATAAAATCCATAAATCTATAGCCAACTTCACTGTGTATCATATATAAATTCGCATCTTCATTCATCGTTAGAGATGATGCTTTCCAATTCACAAAGAAACTTGGTGGCAAGCTTCCAGTTAACTTATTATCAGCTATTTCAAATATCCGCAGCTCGGGAAATTCGAGAGGAGCTTGATGAGGAGGAGATATAGGACCGTAGAACTTGTTTGAACGAAGGGTAAGGACTTTCAAATTCGGTAAAGGCTTGAGCCAATTTATCAAACTCGTTCTTGAACTGCGTAATATCTTGAATCTGGCGGGGGCGACAAGCAACAAGACCAACAATAGGATTTTTTAAAAGGAAGAAGCTTGAAGGGGAGACAAAACAGAGTAAGAGTAGCGAGAGAAAATACAAACGAAGATGAAACTCTGATATGGTCGTCATGAATAATTTTTATTAGGAGAATGAGTTTGCTTGATAAAAATGTGAGAGAGAAGATTGGTATAAATAAAGATACATGTGGTTTTGCATTGGAGCTATGTCACACAACAAAAGTTGACTTAGAATCAGTTTGAGTGGGGGAAGGAAAAAAGTGCGCCTAAATTAGTTAATGTTTCTAACGTATAACTTGGGATTGGAGTCACATCACATCAGTTTCAAATTTTCTCATACATTTTGGATGCATTTGTGGATCAGAACAACAATATAACTGCAATTATTCGTAATCCTTCTTGTAAACGGAAATAGAACAGAGCATCTATACTTGGTTTGAGATACGAACTGATAAAACTGTGGTATTAAAAAAGAATGATCAAAGACAAGAAAAATACATATTTATAAATATATACGGCATATCTTATTAAATAGCTTCCTCATTGAATTTTCTTATACAACTATGTATTACAGAGAAATGGCATTAATTTTGTTTGTGGAATTGGAGAGGATTTTCTCAAATTTCAAAAACAGAGACTTTTGCATTGACGCTTTTTCTTTACACACCACTTTCTTTCCCCTGAGTCAAGCACGAGGACCACAATGACGAGTTTTTTATTCTCGACAAACTTTTTCTAGTCACCATTGGTGGCGGAGGAGGACTTGCCATCACTATGAGGCTTTAATATTCCCTTTTAATTTTATTTTTCAGCTGAAAATATTTGATAGTATAAATACGTAAGATTTAAGGGAAAATTCCCGGAAAAAACCTGACTTATTTATTTATACTATTAAATATTTTCAGCTGAAAAATAAAATTAAAAAGGAATATTAAAGCCCTCATAGTGATGGCAAGTCCTCCTCCGCCACCAATGCCCTTTACCAAATCCACCGCCGTGACACGGTGATTCTCGCCGAGTTTACCAAATTCAAAGGGAATTTCACTTCCGTCGCTGCTCAGTGCCTTCAGAAGCTTCCTTCTTCGAATAACAAGTTTAAATAGAATTGCGATGGTCATACGTTTAATTACCTCGTCGAAAATGGCTTCAGTGAGTCTCTTCTTCTCGGTCTGTATATATGATTCTCCCTATGCTTGAAATTCGCGTCACAAAAAGTTTAGGTTTAATTGATTACACTGGATCTATTCTCTGTTTTTTGGTGTATTGGTTGTTTGTGAGAAGGCCTTGTTGTTTTTTTTAATTCAAACTTGATAACATTGGAGCCTTTTGCTTACATGGAATTCAGAAGTACTTTTGGCATGAAGTTGTAATGTTTGAAGGATCTGACAAAATTGTTTTTGTGCAGCTTATTGTGTTGTTGCTGTTGAATCTGTTGATAGACAGATTCCAATGGCCTTCCTGGAGCGAGTTAAGGAGGATCTCAACAGGAGATATGGTGGTGGTAAGGCTACTACTGCTCAAGCCAACAGCTTGAACAGAGAGTTTGGGTACTTAGCTCTACCATCAGAATGAAAACTTTAAACTTCTACGTTTAGTCTCTATGGATTCAAGTTTAACTAGTCTGGTTGTACCGTAGGTCGAAACTGAAGGAGCACATGCAGTACTGTGTGGATCATCCTGATGAGATTAGCAAACTTGCCAAGGTTAAGGCTCAGGTGACTGAGGTGAAGGGTGTTATGATGGAGAACATTGAGAAGGTCTGAATCTCACAATTCTAAGTTTGAGTATATTTTTCATATCTGGCTTGAACTTTCTCTGCCCTTGAGGTAGAACTGACACGCTTTTGCTCCTAGCGCAGAAGATTTTGATGAGATTGCAGTTAACTTGCTTGCAAAATCATCTATCTTCTCGGAGTCTTTCATCGTTAGTCTATCAAATTCAGCCATTAGGGTTTGTAGTCGAGCCTCTCTAACCCTCTCTGCTCCGACGTGTTTTGTTTTTATAGCATCCCAAACTTTCTTCGCCGTATTTAACTCACCAACTTCTAGAACAAGGGCTTCAGGGATGGACTGAAACAACAAGATCGTGGCCAGGTCATTCTTCTCTGTATCGGTTGATCCTGCCTCTATGGTTTCCCACACCTTATGAACCCTAAGCGTGCTTCTCATCCTCATGGCCCATACGGTGTAATTTGTTGAATTTAGCATCGGGCATTGGATTGACGTTGATCCACCTCCTCCTCCTTGTTTGTCCGGTATAGTTGTGATCTCGCTCATCTTTCTCTATCAGATCCTCTACTCGAAGAAGCTCTGATACCAATCTTGTTTTAGAGATATGAATTAAGACTCAAAAGAACAACTTTCTCTTTATTAAGGAAAAACTAACTCAAAACCTTAATCTCTCAACTCAAAATCTCTTAAGCCATACCACACTTTGATATGTGCTTATATAGTCACAACCCTTAACCTAATCATAACTCAATTAGGAAAACTATAGAATCTTCTAGATAACTCCTAGAGATTTAACATTTATCTTAATACAAACCGATAACTTGCTCTTCAAGTAAACTCCGGTTTACTTCTCTTCAAGCTTAAACCAACACTTTCCGCTCTAACACTTCTCTCTATGCCTGGTTTCACGTATAAATAACTCTTGGTTTCACTCATTTGAAGGCAATAAGTTGTTTTTATGTAGTTTTCATGTTCTTGGATTTTGAGTATCTACCGGCACAAGTTTTCAGAATGCAAGGAACAAAATAAGAAGAAAGATGACTAGAAAACATTAAGTTTTCTTACCTTAAAGCACAAGAAATATAACAGAGCAGTGGATAAAAATAAGAAGAGTACGTTGAGAAATTACCAGCCCCATTTTTTTTTTTTTTTAAATTTAATTTCCATTCAAAAACGAGATTACAAAGTTAAAAACCCAAAGGCCCAACCCAAACAAAAGGAAGAGCATAAAACTTACCAACTACAAATTGCCAGGTCCAACTACGACCAAGGCAAACCTGCAACAAACCAGTAGGCCAACCTATAGCAAAATTACAGTTGAAACACCTGAAACCAAGTAGACAATAAAGAGAGAGCAGGAGGAATAACAATCTGAGCTCTAGAGAGAGGGTCTAGCCTATATCTGATGGTATTCTTGATGTCAACTATGAGAGCACAAGGAGGCCGTGAAACATGAGAGTGAAGCCGACTGTTCCTTTCTTTCCAAATAGTATAAATAGAAGCTTGAAAAGCCAGCTTCACAATGATTGCCAAATTTCCATTTGGACATGGGTCTTTAATCCATCTAAGAACATGCTCAAATAATAGTGGTGGGGAGACACGTGCCTTAGATGAGAAGAAAGACCAAACCTCAGAGAAGAAAGGGCAATCGAAGAAGAGGTGTTGATGTGTTTCATTTGCAGCGTTGCAGAGGAGGCAAAGAGGAGGGACAGAGAGTCCCCAACTAATCAGTCTATCCTTAGTTTGAAGCCTATTTCTGGCCGCCAGCCAAGCAATGAAGGCGTGCTTTGGAATTCTGCCTTTGAACCAAATGCTTTTATGCCAAGCGACTTCTTGGATCGGAGGCTTCAGCTCATGCCAAGTAGCAGACGTGGATAACTTAGAGGAGGGAGGCAAGTCTCCCACTTTCCACAAATACCTATCATCCACTCGGGAAGGGTCAACCAACTGTGAAGAAGGGAGGCTTTGCTTTAAAAATTGTATCACCGGATTTCTGCTTCTAGAAGACGAAATCCACCAATCCCCATTTGAGAGAGCATCAGCCACAACAGCTGACACCGACAATCCTGTGATTCTCGGACCTAACTCACCAGTAATATCAATGAGGGGTCCAAGAGAGGTCCAGTTATCTTTCCGGAAACTACAAGTTATCCCAGAGCCAATCTCACAAGTAATAAAGGATCTGGCCAATGTTCTCAGCTTGCATAAGTTTCTCCAGATCCAACTTCCTGCATTATTTGCGACAACATCCCAGAAACAAGTAGAGCCAATTAAATGTCTACGAACCCAAGAGACACATAAGGATCCACCGGCTGCAAAAATTAACCAAATTAGCTTAAGACTTAGAACTTTATTCCAAGCCAGCAACCAGGGCCGTGCCTATGGGCAATTAAAAAGGCATTTGTTTCAGGTAACAAAAATATAAAGATTTTTTAGGGCCACCAAATTTCACAAATTTAGTGTATCAGAATGGTTTTAGAGAACTCTTTAATGGGTTAACAACCCAAGTTCAAATATGCAAATAATTTTTTTTTTGTATTTATACACAATTAAGCTTTACAATAAAGAAATCGAGATTTCCAAACCGGTAAGAAAACATATCTCAAACAAAAAAAGAAACTAGAATCCTAAATTGAAAAGGAATCGAGTAAAGGTTGTGAATTTTTGGAATTTTTCTATCGTTTGGAATTAAAAAAAAATTATTTAAAAATTATATTAAAAAGGTATTTTTTTGGGTCCCTAATTTCAACTTCGCCTTAAGCCTCGATAATCCTGGACACGGCACTGCCAGCAACCTCCTTAGACCAAGACCACCACATTCTTTAGGAGTGCACACTGAATCCCAACTAACTTTTGCCCCTCTAGCTGAGTTAGGAGCACCTCTCCACAAAAAACCATTACACATCTGATCAATTTCTTCAAGACATTGATTGGGAAGTAAGAGGATCGACGCCCAGAAAGTAATGATAGAGTAAATAACCGATCTTATCAATTGAAGTCTCCCACCAAAAGATAAGCGCTTTACGGACCAAGAGTTGAATCTCTTTGAAACTCTGTCCACCAGAGGCTGGTAATCCTGCTTTCGAAGCTTTCTTGAGGTTAAAGGCACACCAAGGTACCGAACCGGAAAAGATCCACAGTTCAATCCCATACTTAGATTAGGTCTTTGTGCTCATGGTGATTTTTTTGTAATCAACAATCTGAAGTTGAGTTTTTACTGTTTCCTTTAATCTCCTACTATTTTTTCTATTCTTTTGTTGATGCTAACCAAATTAATCCCATGAAGGAAACCTCCTCTCGGTTACAGTTGTCTAATGTGTAAAACATGGTAAAAACCCTAACTTTATACCCATTTGCCCGCCTCTGCCGTGTTTTTTCATTAGAAAGAAACGGAGATATATATGAGTCATATGGCTATGACTTAAGAGAAATCACAATTCTTACTCCACAGGAGAAGAAATAACATTAGATAAATATTACACAACAAACACAAGGATATGCTTCAATACAAGACCAACAACAACAACAATCCTAACGGTTTCTACGCCTATTCGGACCAATTATCTTGGCGAGCCACTCCAGCTTGTATGAAGCAATGACTTGTGCTATTGCCAATCTAAACAACACTCCAGATCCGTACCCTATTGCCACTGCTTTCCAGCTCAACACTTCTTCTTCTTCTTTTTTTTGTTTTCTTGCTTATGGTGTTGCATCGGAGGTGTCCTAGTGCCGTAGCAAGTTTCCTCGAGAGGAAGACCACAAAGCCCTGCATTCCCTTCAAAGGAGGATTTAGATTTCCCAGTAATCTGTGTTCCTTGTGGTATTTCACCCTTGAGTTGGTTGTGAGACACGTTGATGTACGCCAAAAACGAGAGGCTCCCTAGTCCATTAGGAATAGTCCCCGAGAGTTGGTTTCTTGACATGTCTATGTTACAGCAGAACCACATGTGTGTCTCGCACGTGCAAAGTCAAGTTGAAATAAGAATAATCTAGAATCGACGCGTGGCAATGGATGGTTGTAATTAATCACAGATCCTCCATCATGAGGGGGCATATCAAGTATCAATCACAGATCATCAAGAATATGTCAAGGATCAATCATTGTTCTAAATATGGCAAGTATATATATTGTATTTATGTTGTAATTAGAACTCTCTAGAATCCTTCTCTTGTATATATACCTCTTGTATCTCAATCAATAGAATCATCAAATTCCCAATTCATTCTCTTCTCTATAGAGGAGTTGGGAACTTCAATAGAACCAGTGAAATCGTTTTTACTCAATTCAAGAGCTGATAAGGAAGGCAACGTAAGTAGGTAAGAAGGAATGGTTCCAGTGAAGTGATTACTAGCAAGTCCTATAATGGAGAGGTTAGTTAGATTTTGTACAAGTGGGAAACTACCGGTGAGCTTGTTTTGGTCAAGGTAAAATTGGGTTAACGAGGCAAGGTTACTAATTGTGAGAGGAACTTGGCCGAAGAAGCCATTAGAGGAAAGAGATAAGACCTCTAATTTGTTGAGATTGCCAAATTCGGAAGGGAGTGAGGAACTAAAGTTGTTGTAACCGAGATTGAGGTAACGGAGGAGGTGCAACTCAAAGAGGCTATTGTTGGGATTCAGAGTTCCAGACAAGTGATTATAAGAAAGGTCTAAATAGGAAAGCTGACATAAGTTATTAAATGAGTAAGGAACTTGACCTATGAAGCCATTAGAGAAAAGACGCAAGGCCTCTAATTTGTTGAGATTGCCGAATTTGGAAGGGAGTGGAGTGGAGGCGAAGTTGTTTTTAGAGAGATCAAGATGACGAAGTTGATGAAACTCGAAGAGGCTGCTGTTGGGCTTCAGGGTTCCAATGAGACAATCCCTGAGTCGTAGAACCGTGACAGCACCCGTCGAATTATCGCACCAGACTCCATTAAGGTCGTCACTGTGGTTGCAATGGCGGGTATCAAACTCATTCTTGAAATGCGTGAAAGCTTGAATTTGGTGGGGGCGACAAGCGACACGATTCTCTAAAGTAGAGAGGCTTGAAGGAGAGACACAACAGAGCAAGACTAGCGAGAGAAAAAGCAAACGCAGATGCGAATCAGACATGGTCGTCATGAAAAGTGAGAGAGAAGATTTGATATACAGAAAGAGTTGTGGATTTGCATTGGATCACAACTTGACTTGGAGAAGTTGAAGCTACGTCAAGTCTTTGTATTCGGACTTGAAGAAAAGTAGGGTTAAGTAATCATGAAGTGATATTCACGTTAGTTAAGATTTCTAACGTATTTATGGGATTTCACATTAGTTTTGAAACAATTCTCACATGTGTTCAATATAACATAAATAAACTTACCATAACGACAAACATGCATCGGATACGTTTGTAGCACTTAAGTGCTTTACAAATTAAGAAGAATTGTTTTGTTTGTGCGCATTGTTCAAACTTCAAAGTGATTATGTTGTGGTTTAGGTAACAAATTAAGGATCGCTAAACCGAACAAGATATGTTATACTAAGCAGAGGAACAAGAACATGATCGATTTTTCAGAATGAATGGAAAATTCTTCATTGGAGGATGAGCACACTTACAGTCACAGCGTTAGATAATGGTTTGTTTTGTCATTCTAATAATAATCCACGTTAGTTTTAAATGTTAACGTAGAACTTGGGTTTCGAATCACATCAGTTGGAAATTTCTCACATATGTAGGTCCAAAGTTACAGAAATAAAATTAACATAACGACAAAAACATTGGATACGTTCGTCAGTGTATTGTTTTGATTTGTTTGTGCATTATTTATACTTCAAAGTTGGTGATGTGGCAATTTGATCACGTTATATATGGTTTAGTTAAGTCTGCCACAACTTCGAGAGCATAATTGAACCAAATGATATTGGGAAAAATGTCATTTAAATCATCACTTTACCATTTTCGTTGGTTTAAATCATGAATTTTACACCTGGTGATTTAAATCCTTAATTTTTTGTTGATTTTTATTTTAATCATGAATTCTCATTAACAAAGCCAATTGAGACACATCGCTAACTGGCTAAACGGATCAATAAGACGAAGTCATCGCATAACTGGCACTTCGAAACCATCACATAATTTTTCTTCTACACCAACATGGTTTCCATCTTTCTCTTCGTTCGATTGCTCCGTTTAGTCAGTTAACAATGTGCATAAATTAGCTTAGCCAACGAGAATTCATGATTAAATTGAAAGTCAACATAAAAATGAAGATTTAAATCACTAGCTCCAGAGTTCATGCTTTAAACCAACGAAAATGACAAACTGATGATTTAAATGACATTTTCCCCATTGATATTTGACATTTTGACCCTACTTAGGTGTTTCGAGGGCACTGGAGCTTTTGTGTTGTTGAAATAAGCTTAGTAGCTTTTCTAGGCTGAGTTTTATGGCCCATAGTCGATGGGCCTTCATGCAATGATATATTGAGAGACTAAATTGTAAGATTTTTTTTTTTTTTTTCACTTGTAAATATTGATTATGCCAAGCAAAGATACAAAGTGAAATACTAAAGCCGGCGTAACAATAAGATATCTCCGGAAACCAAAGGTGAAATACTAAAGCCGACGGAAACTAAATTGTAAGATTTAGCTAGATTGTTCGTGGAGATTGCTTCTATATATGAATTTGATTTAGCTAGGCATGTTCGTTTGCCTGTCGGGTGGATTCAGCGACAACGACCAGCGACAACAATCAGCGACCAGCGATGGTATATATTATTCGTTTGCCTATCGTTAGCGGCTATCGCTGTGTTGTTCGTTTGAGTGTCGCTCAAAACAATTACTATATTTTTAAAATTTTAAAGTTATGATGACAATTTATATTTTAAAATAAAATATAAATTACATATATCATGCACCATTACAAAAAATAAATCAATACATTTCTTTAGTTTAATTTTAACAAATTTAGTTAGACTATAAATACTTTGATTTATTTGAATTTAATATATTTTAATTTAAGAAGATTGATTTTAATTTAATTATATTTTCTTTAATTTAATAAGATTTATTTTAATTTAGCTTCTATTTAATTTTATTTATTTGAATTTATTTTAGTTTTGTATAAATTTATTTAATTAAGTTTAGTTTTGATTATTTTAATTTAGTTTATTTTAATTTAGTTTAATTTTTTATTTTTTTTTAATTTATATTTTTTTATCGCTAAGTTGTTTGTTTGCTTGTCGCTGGATTCAGCGACTGAAAATTGCGGTCGTTGGTCGCTGGCCACCGTAGTTGTGATTGGTCGCTCGCGACTGTCGCTGCCAATCGCAGCACCAGCAACAGACAAACAAACAACTTTTAGTCGTTGTCGCTGGTTTATGTCGCCAGCGACAAGCAAACGAACATGACCTTACTATATTTCTATAACTTATATAGATACTCATAACTTTTAAGTTATAAGTTATTGAGTTTTAATGTGATACATACAAGAGTTTGCTGTCTGCTCAAAAAATTTGCAATTGTAGAGACTGAATTTGGGATAAGACATACTCTTTTAATACTTTCGAACTTATAGATTAGTACAAAGTTTTATAATCACTATCAATCACGATACATATTTAAGTGTTTGGTCTTTTAAAATTTTTTCCCAAAAGATAAATAAATATCATTTTACTTTACTAATTATTTACCATATTATCTACTCATAAAATTTAGCTAATAATTTTAATTTTAACGAGTCTTGTAAGATTATGTGTTGGAAAGATGGGTTAACATGTATATCAAACATAAAACAAACCACTACACAACTGTTCATAAAAAGTAAAATAACCATTTTATTAACCAAACTTGAAATCAACCAAAGCAGAACATATGGAATCAACATACAATGCGACTCAAAATAAAATAACGACATACACAATTGCTAATGTATCATTTTATTGTAATAATTAATTATCATTTATCATTCAATTAAATAATATAACAACGTTACGAATGCATGAGCATGAGCCTTAATTAATGCCTTCATCAGTGATGGCCACCACCACCAAAACCTCCTCCACCACCAATGCCTTTACCAAATCCACCACCGGCTCCACCGCCGAAACCTCCTCCGCCACCACCGCCAAATCCTCCTCCTCCTCCAACACCACCACCGCCTCCAAGTCCTCCTCCAGCACCACCACCATATCCTCCTCCAGCACCACCGCCATATCCTCCTCCTCCTCCCAAACCACCACCACCACCTCCGCCTAGACCCCCTCCTCCTCCTAAACCACTACCGCCTCCTAGACCCCCTCCTCCTCCCAAACCACTACCGCCTCCTAGACCCCCTCCTCCTCCCAAACCGCCACCACCGCCTAAACCTCCACCGCCTCCTAGACCTCCACCGCCTCCTAGACCACCTCCGCCGCCCAAACCCTTACCAAAACCCTTCTTGTAAATGCCATGCTTGTGGAAGAAAGGACGAGGTTTGTGCAAGAATGGACGTGGTTTGTGAAAAAAGTGTTTGTCGTCGTTAACCTCAACATTTCCGAACACAAATTCGGCGACTAGAGCGAATACAAAGATAAACACACACACCTTCCCGGAAATTAAACCCATAATTAACTTGTTCGAGTTTTATATGATGGATATGAAAGAGAGATCGAAGACAGTTGTGTCAGTGAAGCTTACTCTTGACCTGTATATATAGACATATCGTCCATTCGTGAGTACCTACATACATAACCGGTTTTGCATATTTTATTTTTTAGGTTTCTTATCAACTCTGGTTTAGTTAGTTTCTCTCCATAATCCATCTAGCTACTCCTTTTAAAACTGACAAATTGTGCATATGTAGTCAAATTATTTTATGATCTGATGGTAACGAATGTTTTGGATGTGAATTAATGTCAATAAACGTTTATGCATGCGGAGTTGCAATGCTTGGTTTACTTATAACCGCGAGGAAAAGTGGGCAACCGGCATCGATTTAACCGGACGTAATAACTCGTAAAAAAGCGAAAAATATAATTGGTTGAGTAAACTAAATTAAATGAGGTTCACCTGTCATTGGACAATTTATTTATGTCTGCCAACTGCCCAGTTGATCTCATCCAACATAACAATAAAATGAAATCAATGTACATTACTTTAATACTCCATATCTATGTATATATATATATATTATAGATGCACATAAAGTGAGTTGTATATCTTATTTCTGATTTAAAAATTTGAGGAAACGATTCTAGTGGTTGATGGTGAAAAAAAACCTGAAATTGATGAATATATGTACATTGTTTAATAATTGTTTGCTCAGTTTTACACACAACAAAATAATTATTATTTGCTCATCTTAACAATGAATTGGTCCATGTCCTGAAATCAAGACTCATGTTCATAGAATGCAATCATCAGTTTCACCATGTGTATATGATCCCTCATAAATCAACCTTCTAAGGAGTTATAGCAAAAAATAACAGTGTATTCCACTATTTCTCTTAGTGTATTTTTTTAAAAGACGTCTTAATTACTAAATGTGTAAATTGTGTCGTTATAAAAAAAAAAAACAAAAAATGATAATCGTGGCTGCTTTATTTTCCTTTTATAGCTGAAGGACATCTCTACTACAAAGCCAGCCATTATAATAAGGGCTCTTTTGCATTATTCAAGCCCCTAAATGTGATTTCATTTAGTGAAAAAGAAGTGATCTCATTTATTGTGCCATTAATGGCTCAAACCAAACACATATTAAACCTTTCATTTTCCAAACTAACAAAGAAAGAAAAACAGATAGGCTTATACATGCATCACCAACATATTTTTAGATTAATAAAGTTTGAGGTTGACTTGTTTGAGCTGTGAATCTAATCTATTATTTTAAATTTGGATTGTTTGTTGTTAGAATAATGGTTGGGACTTAAATGTTAAGGTCAACTTAGTGGTTTTTAGAAAAGGCTTAACACGATTAGAATTGTTTAATTTGTTTGTTAGAAATTTAAGAAATAAGTTCAATACTTGAAAACACTTAAAGAGTGGATTGTTCATTTCTAATTTTAATTTAGTAAAAAGAGTTCAAATTAGTGCCAAATGACTATATATGTTATGTATTGTTTTGTAAAAATTTGGATTGGTTCTATTGAGAATAT